CTAAAGCTGTACTACCTTAGCCAAGGCGCAAATTTCGATTATTTACTATAAAAAAGTTATGTCATGTACCTTGAGTTAAAGATGCAATATATTGTTGTTAATATTGTAGTTCGATACTCCATACTCTAGACCAAATCGGATTATGATCTATCATAAACTAAATATATTGTGTTTGCAAGATAATCACCACTATATATTCGTCAGATGAAAAAAACACACTATCGTAATTGTACACACCAAGACAGCCAGTGCACATGTTATGTTTTCGTCCATATTGCGTCTGTAAATATTAATAGCGTGCTGTCGCATAATTTACTGGCCGGGGATTTAGCAGAGTACCGGAAATGATTATTCCACTGTGTCGCACAAACTACGTGCATATGTGCAAACCGAAATATGATTCAATTGTTTCCAAGTATCGTGGTTGTAAACGAAGGTACTTTACAACGTGTTTGTAGAAGGCGCTCCTCAAAATGTAGCACAACTCAAATTCAATATCATAAGCTAAGATTTTTGTCATAGCCGATTCAAGAAATTCTAGCACACTGGGATGTGAGGGCGCCATGCGAAGTAGTGGGTGCACTGTGAACTTCAATGTTTTTTGAATATATCTTAATTTTGTCTTTAAAAAAGTGAACATTTTCAGTGTTGATTGTAGAATCAGAATATATCCAATAAATCGTGCCCTCAAACAACAAATCACAATTGTGATGACGTGGGGGAGAAATATCGTTAAAACAAAAATACTTCCTTAAGTAATCAGTTAGCTGTTAGGGATAAAGCAACAATCTGAGGTAGGTATCTGCATCTACATCTGACCAAAATCTATCCAAATGCTGTTCAGGTCTCGTTGGACCAGCAGCCAATCAGGACTCTTAATATATGACGCTTCGTTTTAGTAAGTTGCTTTAATTGGCTGACAAATTAATTCAGAGAATTTAAAACAGGCTGAACATCTACATATCTATCGGATTTAATCAGATCAGTATATGACGTCCCAATTCCCCAACAATGTACCAGGTCAGCGAGTTCCGCAATGACGCACACAATGGCGTGTTATTATAATACCGGATTATGGACAGAATAATTGATATACCCTTATTACATTATCCATATATTATTACAGGCCCATGCAATCTATGTCTGCCTTGGTATATTTTTTTCACAATAATATTGATCACTTTTCAACAATGAGCCAAAAACTAGCTGGTGCCCCTTTCACAAAAAAAAATCCACATCATTTTTTTCCTTATTTCAAACGATTTTACGATATAATGAAAAAATATTCTGGCTGTATTAATTACAGAGGCGACATATCCAAAAAATAAAAAAAAAAACACAAAAAACAAACAAACAAATATTTAGCATGGTAGGAAACACTGTGTTACTTTACTACATCACATTTCTACAGTAAATTCGTTGGTGGCGTTGACGCTCGTTCGACTGGGCCGTCCTTTCTCGTAAAGGTAACCTCTAATTCAGAACGCTACTAAAATGTAAAACGATGTCTTTTTCTTTTTTACATGTGACATTTTAGTGAGAATTATTAAATTTGGAAAAAAAAATATTTTGGTCATTTGACAATGTTTGAAAACAAATCGATGTTTCAATATCTAAATGAAAAATCAGCATGCACTATACATCGCGCCCTCTAATGACGGAACGCTTCCCTGAAGTCGTCGTTTATTGAAGAAATGGTTTTTGGCAGCGTAGTCGCTTGTGTTCTAGAAAAATACGAAAAAACAAACAAATTTAGTGAAAAAAACAACACAAATTTAACAAAATTGACAATGTATTTTACAAGGTAAGTCTCGATGCCAGGAAGTATTATACAATTTAGCATTTTATTAGAAGGTTTTT